GGGTTGCCTGTGACTTCGGTTACCTACCTGGGACTACCTTGTTGCAGGACTCTACCCTAAAATCGAATGATCCTGTGCTACTACTCTGCAAGGTTATATACATCCTGAACCCGAAACTCTATCCTAATCACAGGATATAGGGTTCAGGATATAGCACTTGATTTGCAATGCAATACCAGGACAGTGTCAGGGAGCGGCTCGGCATCTCGGAGCGAAGGGGTTTGAGTTTAGGTGAGACTTTCTGGGCACAAGAAATATACCCGGGGTTTAGGGTTTCGGGTTTAGGGTTTAGGAATATACCCTCATATACCCCAAACCCTTATCCCCTAAGCCTAAACCCTACAGTATACCCTGAACCCCTGAGCGCAGTCCATTGCAACCACATGCCGAGGCGTCGCCATTGGTGCTCGGCCCCTCACAGCCGGTCCGGGGGGACGTTACTTCGAGGTTCTCAGCTCGTTCGGGTTTTCGTGTTGGGTTTTGTAATTCGAACGGTCCAAAGCACCTAAGGTACCTGAGTTTAGGATGAGTTTAGGATAGTAGTTGTGTAGATTCTCACTTTTCGGAGCGTATAAGATTATCAGGTATTTGGACCCTTAGGGTAGGAGTTTTCTTTTTTGAAGGGTTCTCATACTTGTTCTTACGAAGGTTCCATCTCCAGAGGTTTGGGCCGAGGATGGCTTCGGATGTACAGGGTGTAAAGATCGAGCATCGAACATCTAATCCAGGACCCTCCAAGTACCCTCAAATAGGGGTAGGGTTTAGGGTGTAGGGTTTAGGGTTTAGGGGTTTATGGTCCCAAACTAAGGGTATTTGGGGTCTATATAGAGGGTAGATGGAGGGTCTAGGAGGGTTTGGCGTCCAGGGGTTGCCCTTTGGGTCGGTACGTTTAAGGTTGTAGTGTGTTTAAGCAAGTGTTCAGGGGATTGGGGAGGGTGGGCTTAAGGGAGGTTATCTGATTGCGCAGTGTTAGCTGCGACAACCCGTTAGTAATAAGTATTAGCACCGATAATTAGAGCCCAAACTGCCATTAGTAAGGTCGTCATGCATACACAAAAGAGCCATAATAATGGGGCCGGAATATGTCTGCAAGACGCTTGAGAGACCGACCGATGTCCTAACTAGCAAGGAGTTTTATTTCGGGTTCCTTACCAGACAACACACTTATGTCTAATTATCCAATTAGGCTCAACTGCTTTTCCTACAGCTCTTAGCCGAATTCCAACAAACCTAACATGAAAATAATCCACCCTGAACCCGTACGGGCAGATCAAAGCAGAGTGGTTTTGGTGCGTCTGCCGAAGGGCTTGGGTTTCCTGCTTAGGGTCATGACCAATTCTGTTGCAGCAGGCATTTGTTCAGCCCCGAATCTCCTGCTGAGCCATGCAGTGTTGTGCAAGTCTTTGAGAGAGTTTCAGGTTTAACTAGGGATCTTAGCAACAGCAGGGCTTCGGTGTAGTGCAGGTCCTAGCATCTACAAGACCGCTGAATGCCACAAGAAATGGGGGTTTCCGAAAATAGGGGCCGTCGGATCCTTATTATAAGGACCTCCATCATAAGGTACCCCTCATTTTCGGAAACTCCTATCAACCCAGCACTCCTAAAGCTCCACACGAGCCCCAACTCAAAGTCATGAATGGACTCTGAGGGCCCTCAGATGTCCTAAGTACATATATGGGCGGGGGGATCTTATACGAACCACGGTCTTACTTCCGAAGGGAGAAAATAGGCATTCTCTTTATACGATGCAGGTATGTCGGGTCCTGTCGGCCATGCCGAAGCCCACAGGAGCAGAACCCTAAGCCCTAAACCGCTCCTCATATAAGAACCTGATTCAGAAACGCTGGGTCTCTATTAGGGCTCTTCATATAAATCCTAATCTATTGGAGTTGTCGCGGCAGGGTTTCTTAATCAGCTTCCCACAATATACGCTAAACCCTAAACCGTAAGCCCTAAGCCCTAAGCCCAAAGCCCTAAACCCAAACCCTAAACCCTATAAACCCTAAACCTAAAACCCTAAACCTAAAACCCTAAACCCTAAAACCTAAACCCTAAGCGTAAGTTGACTCAAGAGCCGAAGCCACGTTGCAGGTGCGTGTCGATCGGGTTCGCGAGGTGCCGAAGATGCAGGGTTCTGGGGCAACTTCCCGGTTTGCTGGGGGTTTAAGGTTGAGGGTTGGGCGTTTAGGGTTTAGGGTTTATAGTTTGGGGTTGAGGGTTTAGGGTTTAGGGTTGAGGCGTTTGGGTTTAGGGTCTTGGGTTTGGGCTTTTCCGTTTGGGTTTAAGGTAGAGGGTTTGGGGTTGGGGGGTCAGAGTTTATGGTTTATGGTTTGGGGTTGAGGGTTTATGGTTGAGGGTTTACGGTTTAGCGTTGAGGGTTTTAGAGTTTCGGATTTTAGGCTTTGTTTTGTCTGTTTTGGGGTTTAGGGTTGACGTTTTTTTTGGGCTTGGCGGGTTCAGGCTGTTAGGGGCCAGGGTTCAGCTCTTTGGTTGTTCCATGACGGAGTTTGTTGATCAGGGCTTGGGTGGTTTAGGTGCCTCGTTAAGGAAGGGTACCAGTTCAACTACAGCGTTTAGGTGGGCCCGGCATCCCAAGTTATCACCTTCCACTGAAAACATATCCGATCCTTAGCAAGTACTATAAGGGCTTTAATAGTTGCCTTTCTTATTTATTTATTTATTTATTTATTGAGTTATTATGTTTTTTTTTTTGGGGGGGGGTCCTTACTATAGGCGTAGTATAATAGGCCCCAAAGCCCTATTCTCAGTATTGAGGCCCCTACAGTAGACCCCGAAGTCAGAGGCCAGTTTGGTGCTCGCAGTTTAGAACCTAAACCCTAAACCCTAAACCCTTTATTAGAGAGTTCATGTAGGGGCCCTGGGCTCCTTTCTTATAGTCTTTTCATTGTTAGGAGCCCAGGGGCTCCCAAGCTCCTTTATAATCTTGTTGTTATTGTTAGGATCAGTCAGGGAAAGATGGGTCATTATTTTGGCTTCTGCTTATGAGCTTTGGGGCATAGGGCCCCAAGCCCATGCTGCAACAACAAGTGAACTCACCTGAGTCCCACACACACACTACGCCCCAGAACCTTATATGGGTAGTTCTCTAAATTAGGGTCCCTTTTAGGGTCCATTTATAAGGGTGCCGTTCTATATTGGGGACCTAAAACGGGACCCTAATTTACAGAACTACCCATAAATAACCGCAAGAAGCACGCACGGTGTTTACCTCATCCTTACTACAGACAGCTGAGGCAGCCCAGGCTCTCGGAAGATCCCACGTGTACGATCCGAGCAAAGGGAGATTCCTCATGTCCGGAGATGGGACTTTCCAAGAATTAGGGGTACCTTATTTGGGGGGGTCCTTATAATAAGGATCCTACTACTTGGGGTACTATATTAAGGTCCATTTTCGGAAACCCCCAGATCAGACTCCTTAAGGAACCGTTTCCTTCTGGGTTTGTTTGCAATCTTGGCCGTAGATCGTGTGAATGCGGGATGCCTGAACTATCCGGAACCGAAAGCCTAAACCCTACAGCCCTGAAGCCCTAAAGCAGAAGATCATCAGAAGATTGATGCTACAGCCCTAGACTAGAGCCCCAACCTCCTAAGATGCAGGGATCGCCAGATGGGCTAGCATTGGGCTTCACGCTGGTGCCACCGGAAGAGTTAGAGACAGGACGGCCAAGGGTTCAAGCGTTTAGGGTTTCAGGGTTCAGGGGTTAGGACTGACCCCCTTTACCACCATCTTAGGACTCCAAGTGTGTAAAGAGGTTTTTAGGGTTCCAGGGTGAAGGGCCTCAATAGGTACCTATACTGTTTTGGGGGCTCCTTATTATAAATATAGTTT